GTTTATCAAACGCCTCACTCTTGTCAGCTTGATTAAGGAAAATCATAAATCACAGCTTCCAGACCTCACTTGTCTCAAACAAAATTATTTTGTTCGAGACTGATCGGAAATAGATGACCGAAAATTTCAATCCTAATTTAATTTTTGGTCTCTTGCTTCCAGAATTCGGAGTCATTTTTAAAGTTAATGTTAAATCAAACAATTCATTCCTTATAAAATATTCGCCATCTATTAAATTACATTCAAATTTTAAATGTATCCGTTATAACTATAGTATTTTTGAAAAAAAGCGTCCACAATATAAGGGAGCTAACCAGAGATGGTAGAAATGAAATATGACATTAAATGTTGGTCAAATACATTTTAAAACGTTGCTGCAATACTCGTAATAAATTTTGTTCAGTGTTCGTTTGTTGCTTTTGATATAGATTTATGGGAGAATGAAACGTTTTGATAAAGATATGCTGCCTATATATATATATATATATATATATATATATATGTGTGTGTGTGTGTGTGTGTGTTTGTGTGTGTGTGTGCGCACATCCATTGGTGTCAGCGCACGTGTGCGAAGAAAAAGTAATTGAATGAGCTAATTTCAATTCTCTGCAGGAGGATTATTGGAAGTTCGATTTGTTTTGCGTGATTTCCCAAGCTATTGATTAGTTTATCTGAAACTAGCGGAGCCGACCAAAGAGACTGGTATATAATTTGTAATTAATCAAGTTTTTTTTTTATTTATTTCGCTGTGAAGACAAAATTCCTCAGAAAATATTTGTTTTGCCTTACCGTAAAAATACTGAATAAATTGTTTTAATTTCATAATAACGTGCTGAATAAATTGTTTTCCGACAATTTAATTGAGGAAGACGAGGTTGTTCTTATGTTTTTAATTATTTGCTCATTTCACAAAGCAGTTCTGGTGATCCAAAACTGAAATCCAATAAAACTGGAAAATATATTTCCCAGAAATAATGATTTTACACTAGATTAAAATGATTACGATGATTCCGAATAACTAGGCAGACTTTTTCGAATATGCGAGGTTTTTTTGCCCAGTGTGATTATTAAAAAATAAAGTCGTTCCAATCGTAAAATCCTGAACGAAAAAGTATAGAACATACTCGACTTAGTCAAAAACAGTTTCTCTTTCAGTAGAAAAACAAATTTTGTAACGCAGAGAAATTAGAAGAAACGCAAAAATATTGATTTAAACCACGACATTTATCAACCATTTTACTTTCTTTCCATCTAAAAGATTATATTTTAAAAAAAAAAACTACTGTTGAAGTTGTCTTGTGAGGTTTAAATAATTTTCTTACTATGATCGGTGTTCGATCCCTGTTAAAACCAGAATTTGAGTAGACACATTCTCCTCAATTAGAAGATAGGCACACCACAATCACCCTCCTTTGAGCTCACCAAATGGATTATGTTCTGTTCTAATCAAAGCTTAGTGAATAGAAAAACGCTTTTATGTATTGTAATATTGTATAGGATTAACAGAAGACACTATGCATAATCGTAAGTATAAAGACAACTGAAGTTGTAAGTTACACATAAAATATGAATACCGAAAAATTGTGTTAATCCAAAATGCAGATTCTATGATAAATATGCAGAAACAATTGAACATTTTGAATCAGGTTGAACGGTATTATTCAACTGTGAATATAAAATCCGGAATGACAGAGTGGATCAATATCTGCATTGAAAATTCTGCAACATTTACGGAAAGGAAACTGCAAGAAATTGGGATGAACACCACTCAGACCCGGAGACAGGACCTGCCACAATTCTATGGTACTTTACATACAGAAACAGACAGAACAATCAATGCTAATCGCCCAGACATTGTGATCAGAGACCGCAAAAACAAAATGTGCCTTTTCATTGATATAGCAGTCCCTGAAGACTCTAGTGTATCTTTGAGGATCTTAATAAAATATCAAAATACAAGTACGTTGAAATCGAAATCTTAAAAATGTGGCAGGTTAGGACATCCAGTTGTAGGTGAAGCTTATGGATTGATTAGAAAAAATTCCGATAGACTCACTGAAGGGGTTCCTGGTCGCCCTGGCCTTAAAGAAATAAAAAAATGTTCTCACGAGTAAAGCCCACACCTTACGAAGAGTTTTATCTATCTAAAATGGGTTTTTACTGTGATTATTTTTATCAAAACTGTTCAGTAGAAAATGTCATGATGCCATTTCTGACCATAAATCTCTGGTCGGAACCCGGAAAGAAATGAGTATACACCAGAAACCAAAGAAAAAAAGCTTGGTGTTAAGACAATGAAAACAAAGAGAGCGACAAATATGAGGACAATAATCCGAATAATGTAAATAGTGTACATAATACCTCATCTCAGAAATATAGACAGATACTGATGGACCTTATGAAATTTTACAGGGAAATCGGAAAAGCAGTCGTAGATGCCAAAAAGACGAAAATTTGCAAGAATATTTGGAGTTGTCCAAAGTAATATAACCCCATTGCAGAGTGGATCCAACGAGAAGAAGAATGAATGCTGGATAAACCTCTGCGAGAATGGGAAAATGTAACGACGACTCGTTACACAAGCTCTAAAAAATGGAAATCCCCAGGAAATGACAAGGTACCCAACTTTTGGCTCTATCATCTGTCATCAATCCATGCACAAACTCTATCAATGCTTATTAGTAATCCCAATGAAGTACCACAATGAATCACTGATGTTATTACATATCTCCTACCAACAGGGTGAAACAGATGATCCTAAAAATTATAGGCCAATAACATGTCTGTCCACTACGTAGAAATTGATCACCGTACTAACTCTCTTCTCGAAGAAAACAACATGCTTCCTCTGGAACAGAAGGGATGCGAAAGCGATCCATATGGTTGCAAAGATCAACTATTGATAAACAAAATGATCCTGGATAACTGCAAGAAAAGAGGAAGAAATCTCAGCACAGCTTGGATAGTGTGCAACACACTTGGATCCTTAAGACTTTGAAAATGTACAAAGTCTCCTCGGTGATAGTAAATCTCCTTAAACACAGCGTTGGAATGTGGAAAACCACATCATACTTGAACTACACCAAAGGCACTGCCACGTCCAACCGCCTAAATATTCGACAGAAATCTTTCACGGAAACTCTATCACCCCTTCTGTTTTGTCTATCGTTACTCCCTTTTACGCATGAACTAAACAATAATAACTATGGATACAAAGTAAACAAGAAATTGTTCAATCATCAACTCTACATGGAAGATCTCAAACTCTTTGCCAAAGATGACAATAAGTTGAAAGGTCTCCTTAATACTATAAAATATTTCAGTAACGACGTAGGTATGGATTTCGGATTAAATAAATGTGAAAAATTAATAAAGAAAGGTAAATTTACAGAAACACCCTCAACAGATCGGAGATATTTTCACAAAGGTTAGGGAAGTGGAACAAGAAGAAGCCTATAGGTACCTAGGAATTAGCGAAGGAGAGGGAATACAGCATACACAAATGAAGGGGTAATGCAAGAAAAGAATACTACAGACGTGTGCATCTGTTATTGAATACGGAGTTGAATTAACAAAAGCGGAATATTAGCAATCAAAACTTTGGCTGTCTTCGTGGTGCAATACAGTTTCAACATCCTTAACTAGACCATAGCTAATATGGACGCCAGAAACGAAGAAGCCTTTCACTTGCCACTGCATGCATCACGCCAAGACTGATGTTGATCGTGTGTATGTTCCTAGATACGGAGGATGCAGATACCTGAAAACTACAGAAGACAGGATGATGATCTGTGTGAAAGAAGATAAAAGCAGGAACAAATTTTATTCAGTAAACCAACAAGTTCAAAATAGAGTTTCAATTGGCTGAAGAAATGCAAGTAAAGCATAATACACCTACTGCAGCTGCAAAAACCTTAAAAAAGGAAGCAAAGGCAAATGAAATCGACTAGATACTGTGGTGGTAAAGCAACGACTCAACTGATAATAGCAGATAGGAAACGCGAGGAGGGTAACCGACAAAATAGTGTCACACGTCCAACCTTTTCACGAGCAAAAAACTCAGTCCTCGGAAACAAAAACGCGTCTGCTTTATACAGCCGAGGACCAACCATGATTTCCATGCGAATGAGGAGATAACGAGATTTCGCGTTAAGTGTCCGACACCACCCGGCATAAAACATGGGTGCCGCCATTTTGGTTCTTTTAACCGTTGAGCAATCGGAGTTTGCACGACGCACAGATTCGCGGGCGTTTCCGAGGTAGGCCATTTTCTTGTTCCATCTCTCAGTTGCACCAGATACTTGCACACCAAACCGTAATCCGAAAAATGTTGTCGTGCACGCGATGCAGAGACCAGGCTTCATTGATGAAAATGTCATCAACGTATGCTGATATGGCACTTTCAGTTGTGTGGTTTTGCAATGTGTGGGCCTCTATAACGGATTTCATAATGAGTGGTGCCACATTTAGCCCAAATCCTAGCCGCGTAAGACAGAAGCGTAGGCCTTTGAAAATAACCGTTTGAAATGGCTACAGTGCTTCGTCGATGTGTAGCTGAAGATGTGCGTTTCGCAGATCCAGAAACGACACATTGACCCCCTGTCGCCGCCACGTTCTCAACTTATGTGCGCACACTTCTGCATCGGCAGTAAAAGCACCCACAAAGTCGTTCAATTCGCGGTAATCGAGTACTGGACGTACCTTCTGTTTCTGCTCCTGCACGACTGCCATCAAGGGAATCAGACCCTTCGGGGGTCCCAGTCTTTCCTGGGGGTACGGAATCAACCAGCCGTTCACAATTCACTGCTGAAGCTCTTTCTCGTATTTTCCTCTGATGCTGTCGGGAACTTTGTACTCTGCGACCTTGTTGCGAATCTGAACTGGTGGGTCTTTTGGGGCCCATTTCCACCTGGCGGTCTCCACCCTCTCGTCGGAATTGAAGGAGACGTCGAAATCCGGCTCACTAATGCAAAGGGCTGCACACACCTTTCTTCCTTTACCCAGTTCCACATTTCCGGCTGGTGTGATTATCATGCCTCCTAACGCTCGGATCGCATCAATCCCAAGCAGCAGGTCGTAACCGAGGGGCCTTTGACGTGCCACCAAAACGTCGACCTTGGCATGATTCCCTCCGTCTGTGAGGATTGACACAGTCCCGACACAACAACAGGCCCGGGACACTCCGTCAATCGTCCGAATCTCGATTTGTTGACTGCTCCATGTCACGCATCGATCCGCACAGAGGATCGATCGGGAACATCCAGTGTCGCCGAGCGCCGAACATCGTTTACCCTCTACGCTCACGTTGACAAAAGGCAATGCCGCATTTACTGACCGAGAGGGGGCAAGGGTTGTGACAGCACCTTGTCCTCGGACTCATTTCCCGAGCAATCTTGTGCTTCATGGCCTAACTCGTTGCAGAGATAGCAGCGTAGTCGTGCTCGTGTCCGTCGGCTGCTCCCGCCTCCTACGTCACTTCGGCTCCGGCAGTCTCTAGAGAAATGGTTTGGTCCACCGCACTTGTAGCACTTTAGTCCTCCCGCGGGTCTCTTTCAAGCTGTTTCGGGCCCTGGCTAGCAATTCGTCAATTCCCAGTGTGTCCAATCTTGAAGATGCTCGCAGGAGCCGACTGGGGTCGCCGGGAAGTCCTGCCAGGAAGGCGCATCCCAGTATACAGTCCGTTGCTTCGCCAAACGGCCCCGCAGCCTTCGCAAATCGGCCATGTAGACATCCACCGTCTCACCCGGCTCGAGCCGTCGTCCGACGAACTGTATCTAAGCGATGAAGGGATCTATTCCAAATGCCGTGTATCTCTTGATCTCCTCTAAGTCAGCATCGTCCCCGATTTGTTGGTATATGGCGTAGACTCCCCTCGTGAGTCTCAGTGGGATGACCAGTGCAGGTTCTTTTATTTTGGACACCCTGCAAACACGTTCGGCCTTCTCAAACCATTCGACGACAGTAGGGTCCGTGGGGGAGCCGTCGAATTCTGGGATCAATTTTAGATCGAACTTGTCTATTGCCGAAATAGCTTGTGGTGGTAAAGCAACGACTCAACTGATAATAGCAGATAGGAAACGCGAGGAGGGTAACCGACAAAATCCAGTGTCACACGTCCAACCTTCTCACGAGCAAAAAACTCAGTTCTCAGAAACAAAAGCGCGCCTGCTTTATACAGCCGATGACAGACCATGATTTCCATGCGAATGAGGAGACAACGAGATTTCGCGTTAACTGTCCGAGACCACCCGGCATAAAACATGGGCGCCGCCATTTTGGTTCTTTTAACCGTTGAGCAATCGGAGTTTGCATGACGCACAGATTCGCCGGCGTTTCCGAGATAGGCCATTTTCACAATTTTCCCCACAGATACAAAAACAATGGCAGTATAAACCTCTTCACAGTTAATATTCAGCCCATACCAATCAAGGTGATGCAGACAAACCCTGTACCCATCAGTGGCTACTTAGTGCATGGTTAAAAGCTGAAATCGGAGGTTTCATTCTTGCTGCAAAAGAGCAATACTTGGTAACTAGAAATTATCAAGCCCACATACTGAAAAATTGTTAGGCAAAATGCAGATTCTGTAATATATAGCCAGAAACAATAGACTGTGGCACATGAGGACACCAACAACTTTAGTTGTAGTTGGATCACTCGGACTGATTGGAAAAGGATTCCAGTAGACTCATTGAAGCGATTCCTGGTGGCCCATGCCTTACGGAAATTAAAAAATTGTAGCCACTACCTTGCTAATGGTTTTATCAATGTGTGATCTTAGGCTTTTGTTTTTTGTTGCTGTTTTTTTTTTCTCCATAAAAAATGCACAGTGGAAAATGTCATGATTGCCATGTCTGACCTTACATCTCTTGTTGGGACCCGGCAAGAAATGAGTATACACCAGAAATTAACAATAATAATAATAATAATTGTTGAGAAAAACCTGCTCTTACGTTAGGAGTAGCGTCGTTGGCGAAGTTGTTGTTCTTTTAGTCTTCCTTCTCATCGCCCTCCCTCCTCTTACAGCAATAGAAATAAATTTAGAAGCAAAAACAAGATAATAGTTCTCTTACTTATGATGTTGTTTTCTTAATTTTCTTAATTGTCTTCTTGATTTTCTTTTAATCTTCATTTCTTCTCCATAAAATTCTTCTTGCTCCCTTCGCGTCCTCACCGCTCTCTCTTCCCTAAAATTCTCCCCTTCCTCCCCACCATTGTTACATGGAAAACTATTGGAATTGTTCTCTTCTTCATTCACACATTTCTCCTTGAAAACATTTTGTTTAAATTTTTTCGGCTTTTCTGTCTTTATTTGATTCCTTTACAGTAAATGAAGGAAAGAAAAAGGGATTTAAAATAATGAAATATTAATTTCACAGTACATTGATTCCGAAAAAGTTTTAAATTGAAAAGCAAAATAAATTGAAATAAAAAAAAAGAGAGTAGGTTATAATTTCCTATCAGAAGCTTAAAATCTTTTTAAGAAACAAGACGACGAGAAAAGAGAGATAAACATCACGAAATCTACTTCCAATGAGATTGGTGTTATGAGTCATGGGCGACAAGGCAAACAGTGAAAACGCCGGAACTAGTTTAGTATATTCATAATAGAGTACTTCTGTTAAGATATGCAAGTAAACAATTCTGGAATTTCCTTTAAAGAACTAGTTATGATTAATTATCCACATGACCCAAAGTGACTGACGTGTTTCGCAGAAATTTCAGTATTCGAACTTTTGACCTGTTCTGGACTCTTAGAAAAATGTTCGATTTTTAGATAATTGTTTTAATCGGTTGTAAACTGTCGGTTCATCATCTTTGGTTTTTTTGGGTTCTGAAGTTTTACTTTAATTTATTTGTTTTTGTTTACTCAACATTACTTCATTCCAATAATGTACCTATCCCAGGATTCCACATTAACAGAGAAATTAAATGATTTCTAGTCGATTAAGAGATTGTTTGTCGTTGAAGAGTTTGAAAGAATTTATTTAAGAGATGAGTGGAATGAGTTAGAGGATGGCGTGATATAAATTAAATTAAGAGAATTTTACGAACATTAGTCAAATGAGAAGAAGGAAAGGGAGAAAAACAAGAAGGTAAAAAATGAGCAAGAAAGAGAAAAAAGGATGAAAAATGGTGGCAAAGGAGAAAGGGGCATACAAAAAGAAGAAGCGAGGAGAAAAAGACAGATTTTGAATGTGGGAGAAAAAGAGAAAGAAGGGAAAAGACAAACTATGAAAGATAGGTGTTCAAATATGAAGGAAAGGAAAGGAAGAAATAGCGAAGATGCTAACAGAAAGAAAGAAAGACATTGATAGAATGAATAAAACTCGAAAGAAAGAGATAAAAAAAAGATAGAAATAGAACAAAAAGGCACATGAATAATAAAGAAAAGGTAAAAAGGGTGAAAAACAAAAAAAAGTAAATGAACAAAAACCGTAACTAAAATCTACATGTAACAAATATGGCCATAAGGAAATAAAGAAAAATGAAAAGGAGAGTAAAAAGAATGAAATAAATAAAAGAACGAAGAAATCTGAAGGAACAAAAACGTACAAATAATAAAGAATAAAAAAGAAAGAATGAAATAAGGAAAGAAAGAAAGAAAGAAAGAAAGAAAGAAAGAAAGAAAGAAAGAAAGAAAGAATATTCTCTTCGGTAGAGAAAAAGAAAGAACATGAAAGAATATAATCAATTGAAAGCAAGTAAAGCAAATGGATCGAAATAAAATTCGAAAGAAAACAAAATAGGAAAAAATAGGTAACCATTAAGGAAAGAATTAAATGAAGAAATTTTCAAGTAAAATGAATGAATAAAGATGAATCAAAAATTTTAAAAAAACTGACAAAAAAAGTTTTGACGAAATCAAAAAATGTCAGTAATTCTCGTCACTGAGAGAAAATTCCCGAACAAAATATTTATCGTTTATTTAATTTTATAATGAAAAAGCAACAAATTGCAAGATAAATATTCTATATTTTCTTTCAAGTATTCCTTCACTTAACTTTTTCAATTGATTTTCTGACACGTGTGTATTTCTCAGCTTCATTTTAAATGATGCTTAGTCATGTACAGATTTTAATTTGACTAAAGGAATACCTGTTTGCAAGAACGCCGATCCTTCCAAAGGTTTTCACTCCAAAAGTTCCATCTCAAATCTTGTTATTCTTGAGTATATACGAATTCCTTTTTATTCCCTAATTATTCAATCTGTTTTGATCAAGTGTTTGATTTCTTCAAATATTTACTGTGGGGTCAAAAATGTCCGTTATATTTGAGTTTTCGATATTGTACATGTACAATGAAATTACATATTTTCTATCCACTAATTTGCAAGCTTAGAATATTTTAAACAAAATTCTAAAGTTTAAAATCGAAAATGCTGTTTTTTTTAACCTCATCAGAAGAGTGTAAATATAATGTAAATATAAAAGTGAACATTGAAGTTAACACTCAGAGGGTCAGATTGCTAGACGCAATCGTCAGGCCGCGTCTTTTTTATATTTACATACGCTCTATCTCTGATATTGAGCACTTTATCCCATAAATATAGCACACCTTAAAACTATATTTCTTCATATATATATATATATATGTGTGTGTGTGTGTGTGTGTGTGTGTGTGTGTGTGTGTGTGTGTGTGTGTGTGTGATTTGTTAAGATATTAGCAAAATATTAACAATATTAGGAAAAAACATATGTAGCCAGCATAATATATTATTAGATTTCAAGCCAAGCATTGTTTAGTGTGTCGCTATGTTTGGCTTATATAAATTATTTTTTCTTCCCGCCGTACATGTTTACAGATTACAAAATGTGAATCTTCTTTTCTTTCAATAATCTCCCGCCACGAAATTTATCGAAGGAACTCCATTCCAGAATATCCCCCCAGCGTGATTTTTAATGGAATGTCTTCACTTTTTGATTTATAACTCAGATTTAATTATTAGAAAGAGAAAACACACACACACACACAGACACAGAGAGAGACACACACACACGCACACACACACATGCGCGCACACACACACGCACACACACACACACACACACACACACACACACACACATATATATATATATATATATATATATATATATATATATATATATATATGCATATATATACTTTTATGCGTTTCTCTTGACGTAAATAGAGTCTACATTACCTTTCGCTTAACGCTCTTTTTGGTGATTTTTGCGTTGATTTATTTATTCACAAATGAAAATGGACACCCAAGTTTTGTTTTTGGCACATGTTATAAAATGATGACACTCGACATGTTGTATTATGTACAGGGATTTATATATATATATATATATATATATATATATATATATATATAGATAGATAGATAGATAGATAGATAGATAGATAGATAGATATTGATATAAAGTACAAAATGTGTGTAAAATAGGCCGAGAAATAATCATGCCAAAAATGGATATATCAAAAAACTGTTCAATGCACCGTTTAGAAAAGTGAACTTGCAGAGCAGGTTGTTATTATAAAAAAATGAAAATATTTTATCTTCCGTACTACCCGAGTTCCAACCGTGAGGTTTCGTCAAGTAAATTATGTTCTTCAACTCACTACAATTTTTTTTTTAACCATATTATATTACTGAAAGTCAAGAAGGGGAGGAGGTGTAGCCAAAAATTTTTAAAAATTCTTTATTCACATTCAGTCGGGTTCGTAGAGGCCGAGTATGTATTTGTTAATATGTCGGCATTTCGACATTATCTCCGATCTTTCATTTAACAACTTGCACGATCTCAATGCGTTACAATCGCCAAATTCTCCTCCTGGTACAATTTAAAGCTACTGCTGTTAGTCCGACCAGATTTGACACTTCTCAGTATATTGACTCACTGTATTCTTAGATTGTTACAGGTTTTTTTTTTCTTTTAACTTGCAAACATATTCCCCCAGCTTTGTACAATGTCAATGATTCTGTATCCTAAATGTAAAAACATGGTTGCTCCAGCATTTCTTAAAAGCACCCTCTATACATCCAATATAATCTCTCTTTTGTCCACTATCATCTTTAAATTAAGCTTAGTAAATTACACCCTCCGAGCAACAGGCTCCGTCCAAAGAGCATTCATTTTTTCTGCAATTACATAACTTGCTGTTTTGATCGTCTTTTGCGCATCAGTTTTCAAAATAGTCGTAGTTTGCCTCTTTATGATGTTGTTTAAATTGCCATTGCAACTCAATTTTACGGTGCTATTGTTACAAATTCTAGACAATACAGAATGTTTCAGAAAGTGAATGCTTTCCTATTTTTGTTTTTACCTGTAGATTAAAGGTGGAGTTCGGTAGAGCAAATTACGTTTCTTTTTCTAATTGCCTCAGTTGTTGATCAGTCCGGGGCTTAAATATAAGGTCAGTTTTATGTCACTCCCCCTTCAATGCTGCCATAAAGACTTTTTTTTTTTAGTCAAATATTTCGCTTGTTGAAGAATTCTTTGACAATCTGCTCTCAACCCCACTCAAGATGTGCTTAATTACACACTGGACTTCGAATTTACATATTTTATCAATGTGTTAGGCTTTCTATATGGGAAACTGTACAGGCCAATAAGTTAAATTCAATATCTAAATATTAAACAATTTCCTTTTTCATTTCCACAGTGATTTCAAAAATCCTTAAAGAGTATTTTTTTATCTGGTGGCATCGTTAGCTCTTTTATTATCTGGCACCACCATTAGCGCATAGTCTCTGTAAATACTGTGGCTGTCAATGTTATTAATTTTATATAATATAAATATACGCATCGGCTCAGTAATCTCTGCCCCACCGAAAGATCCTTGGAGTACATCAAAGTTTCTTTCTTTGGACTTCTTCACCCACGCTTTTCCATCATGGACCAAAACAGATTTTAACTCAGTCTTCTTCGGCATGATGTCAACATTATTTTTTTATAAGCTAATGCTTCTAATAATCCTTTCTTCGTTATGGAAAGATAAAAATCATTTATATCACATTTGATAAATGCCTGT